TTTTTTTTTTTTTTTTTTTTTTTTTTTTTTTTTTTTTTTTTTTGAAAAAACATGAAATGTGACTTAAACCCATAAGTTTTAAAAACAATAAAAAATACCCAACAACTCTATAGAAAATTCATACAAAACAAGCGAAACAAATCTAAAAAAAGTTCATACAAAACAAGCGAAACAAATCTGAAAAAAATTCATACAAAACAAGCGAAACAATACTCAAGAAAATTTATACAAACATTAGCAGATTTTAGCAAATTACCTTCAAATTTTATCTTTGCGGTGGATTGCCACAGATTGGCACAACAATTTTGGCGAAGGTTTTCTTCTCTTTATAGAGAAGGGCAAAGTCGCGTAAGTTTAATGAGGGAAAGGTGGGTAGATATGGACTAGTTGGGTTATAATAACAGAAAGTGGGCTTTTTCCTAAAATATAAAAGCCCACTCGTGGGATTCCACTGGGTTGTTGTTGTTTGTACAAAAGCTTAGAGCAATTTTTGAATTTTTTTAAAAAACCAAATGGTAATATTTTGGGCCAAAATAGCCCTTGAGCTGGTTTTGGGATTTGAAAATTTGCCAAAATATGGATAAGATCTATAAACAAACAGGTATTTGCCAAAAAAAAATTTGGAAATTTTTTGCAAAATCTATGGTCAAACGGGGGCTTAGTTTGGTGCATGCCCAGGGGTTGTTCACAATTCTCTGCTTGTTTAGTTCAAAAGTAATACCTTTGGTGCATTGACTTACTACTACAGCTTCAATTATTTGCTTGTTTTGCAGTCTGGGGTGCTTGCAACCATGCATTTCATCTTCATTGCATCCTGAAGTGGGTAAACTCACAAACTTCTCAGGCTCATTGCCCCATGTGTCGTCGAGAGTGGCAGTTTAAAGAATGAGCTCAAAATTGTTTGCACCTCTTTGGCAGTTTCTTTCTATTATGTCCCTCAGCTCCTCATCGCAATTTCTCTTTAAAAACGAGATGAATTACAGGTTTCTTCAATTCTGTTTAGGTATTATGTTATCTATACATGCGATACTGGAACATTTTAGAAAGTATAGCTATCTTATTCGCACTCAACCGCCGAGTACCATTATTAGTTTTTAGGCCAGTCATGGTTGGCACCTATGTTGCGAGGACTCTCCAAAATGTAGCCGCACCCGTGTCGGATCCTTCAAAAATGCACTACTATTGGAGGATCCGACACGTATCCTGCCACATTTTCGAAGAGTCCGAGCAATATAGGTTGGCACAGAATAATGTGGGTGATTGTAAATTTAGTTCAGGATTCCAATATCTTTTCCATTTTCTTTCTTCCTTAAACTGTCTGAAATATACCATTCACATCCCTCTGTGATTTATAACATGAGTAAGAGGCAAGACAAAAGGACTTCCTTGACGTTATGATAATGACTTCAATTGATCTCCATGTGCAATGTCTTGGTAGTGGTTGCGCGTATTGCAGTTTTTTATTTTTAACCTAACAAAGGGACTATTTTCTGAGGGAAGTCCTTTTGTCGTTTTAATTGTAACATGACATTTAGTTCTTTGATTGCACCGTTCTATTTTACAGGGGAAAATGCACATTAAATCTTTGTAACTTTTTTAGGTTGTTGCGTTTTTCTTTGTAGCGCTCATATGAGTTCATAACTAGTGTATCTTAAAAGTTACCAAATTATGTCTAACAATTTTAAGCTTAACACCGTTGGTCATTTCTGAAAGAAGTAAGTTGCATTATTACCACATTGTAGTTTTCGAGTCCCAGAAATTTTATATCAGTAATCTGGTCTACTATGAGTACTCGGCACTTTATTAAAAACCCAAATATAATTGTATATACTTAACTTCCCTTTGGTGTTTCTTTTTGCCTCGAAAACTTTTTCTGACCGAGATAGAACAGTTGTAATATATCGTGTGCAACTATTGCTGATTGATAAACCCTTATGAGAAAACACTGTTGGGTTCTCTGGCAATTGGAGTAATTAAGGGGAAAATCATTCAGGAAGTTGATTAGGGAAAAGATTAGTTGTTACAGCGAGATAACCTGTAAATATTTAAAGCAAAAGAGGAGAGAACGGTTTTTATTATCACATTTTAAAAGTAAGGAAAATTAGGAGCACTAACCAGTAAAACTTGGAATTTAGTTTTACACCGATAGATTTTGGAGAAAGGAAGGGAAGCCTGCAAGTGAAATTTTATGGGACATTTGGGTTAAATAAGTAAAAGTTTAATAGGGTGGCCAGGTTTTATCCTGTTATTTAAAACTATATCTAGTTTTCTTCTAAAATTTTAACTCGTAGCTAGTGTTAGAGAACTTCAGACAAAAGCTTCCTCCTCCATTGCGCTGCTTCTTCTTCTGTTGCTCGCTAAACCCATTGGTTGTTGCTCAATGGGACAACCACAACCTTCAACAATAGAATCCGCAACTCAGTTCTTCGTATTGGATAGACTCTTTCAGATAAATTTGAGTTTGAGATGTCTCCAAAGTTGTCACGATCCAAGTTTGCCCTCCGTGAACTGTTGTGACGGTACTTAGTGATTAGGTAAGCTTAACAATTGCGGAAAAACTAATAAAAACTGAAGATAAGAAAAATATAGAAACGATTAAGATGCCGCTCGGCATATACTAATACAAGATCTCAAAAACTGAACAACTTCCCAAAACCCGGAATCTCATGAAATCACAAGCTGTTGAATAACTACAAGTGTCTAACTCCAGAATGTCTAAACAAAAGTAAATACAGAAGGGTTGATATTATGAGAGAGAATAGAAAGGGATTCATCGGTCTGCGGACGCGGCAGATATACCTCGAAGTCACTGGAGAATCGCGTCGCCTCAAAGGTGGTAGGACTGAGTCGAAGTACCTGGATCTGCACATAAAAAACATGCGCAGAAAGGGCATGAGTACACCATAGTGGTACTCAGTAAGTGCCAAGCCTAACATCGGTCGAGTAGTGACGAGGAAGGTCAGGGCCTTACTGATTATAGCTGAAAAACGAGGTAAAATAGTATAGAATACGATAATATAATCAAATGCTAACAGTAAGAAGTAACACAGGATAATAAGAATGGGAACAACTATAATAGAGACAAAATACTCGCAAAAGGAATACTGCTCAATATGTGCGCTGGGGATCTCTCAGTATCCCGATGATCTCTTAGTATCCTCTCTCTCTCTCTCTCTCTCTCTCTCTCTCTCTCTCTCTATATATATATATATATATATAT